ATTCACACACGTCAAGTATTGAACTTTGTTAAAAAATGTCTATTTCTGAAGTTTACCACCATATGCTTCACTTTTGTAAGTAATGAGACCACAAGGTGACACTCCAGTCAATATTTTAATAGTATGGCTCTTTTTGTAGTCAGAGTAATTTTTTAGCCTACAACAAAGACATTTGGCTTGCTGTATTGGGATTTCGGTACAATCAAGTAGTAGTACTCTTACTTACATAGAGGCACATTATTTAATATTTCTTGTTTTGAAGGCCGAATTATACCATACTAAGAACTTCTACCAGTTTCATTAAAAACTGTTAAAAAATTTAACGATAAAAAGTTTCATTCATTCCAAATAAAATGAATAAGACATTATATCTTGCATATCAGTTTTCAACTTCATAAAAGTAAATATAACTTGATCCTTTACAGACATAACTGATCTCCTTTTTCCTATTCTTTAGAAACAACTCTGCTACTAATTCCACAATGGTGGCTAATAACTGGAAGGATTGCAATCCTATTAAAGTAGATAGTTCTTTAGCACTAACAATTCTGTTTGAAAACGGATCAACTAAATCACCACTCTTCACTTGTGTTGAACAATCGATCCCAATTTTCTGCTTTTAAACAAAGTTTTGTAAATTAAGCAAAGCTATTCAGCAGCACACAAATCTTCATTATCTGCTTCAGTAGTAGATATATGTTCATTAACTGCAAAAACACATTTAAACATAATAATAATAATTAACCAAACATTTTAAATTATGCATACGTGCATCCATTGCCTGAAGAAGATAACTCAACACTTTACATTCTAGTAGTACTGGCAACATATCATTATTAAAGACAGTAGCCATAATTCTTGTTTAGCTGGATTACTTTTCTTTTTATTAATAGTCGCTTTCTTTTTACCACTAATCTGAGCTAACTTACATCGACTAAGCTTAGTTGTACATTCTTTTTGTGATTGTAAGTCAGAATCTTTATTTCCCTCTTACCGATGCTAAGGTACACGGATCTTGACGTCAACTAAGATTGCACTTTGTACCTAGTCCATTTTACTATGATGTTGATCAGATTTCCACTGGTGGAATTTTATTTTTATTCATCAAATCATTCACATTCACCGCCAAAATAATCCTTAATTGTCTAAAGGGACAAACTTTAGAATGTGAAAAAGCTACTAACTTTAAATCTTTAAAAAGTTCATTCAATTTTTGCATAATATCTGCTTTTATAATGCGAAATAAATTTTAAAAGAATAATCAAGTGTCCGAATAGTGCCACTATACAATAGTCATGGTCTAAAGTTAGTTATATACACATGAGTGTAAAATTGTTTATATCTATGTTCAAAATTGGTTAGATCTCTTAAAATGTTTTGAAAATTGGGAAACTAGACGTTACGACTCAAAATCCTTTTTTAAAATACCTAACGCAAGCTCCTGTCTTGAAATAAACATACAGATATTTTTTTTTTAATTCCTACTTTGATGAAATATGTGTTTTAAACTCATTTGGGCCAGACCGATTCTGCCTGGTGAGCACTCGGCAAGCCAAGCAATATTACCCGCTTTTCGTCGTCTTGTTTATATATGGATGAGCAGTCTATTAATCTATATATGTCATTGGGTATAGGCACATTATAAACACCATTTAGAACTTAGGGTGTGTTTCCCCAAACATCGAACATTAACATGAATAATCTAAAACTAAGCTTAACTTTAAGTAAGCTTTATGCAACCAGCCCTAACCGTATTGTTTTCTATACCATTTAAGGTCTCCTTAACTTAAGGAAAAAGACAAAATCCATAAAAAGTAACAAGTAGTATAAATAATGGAACAAGGAAGTTAATAATAAAATATGAGCTTTTAAAAGTTTATTGATTCGAAACAAAAATACAAAAGTTCGTATACCTAGGTAATTTTATATAGAAACGTTAGCGTAACCACCCTACACAATGGACCCTACGTCAAGATAAGATAGCGACGACGGACGCAATACACATTTCTTTTATTGCTTTTACTGTAATCAAATAGGGTAAACTAACTATAAATAGTTTGTGAAACCATGTTAGCTTGTTACTATTTTTCTATTCGTTGTGCAGTAAACACACAACAATATTATACCGAATTATTGTATACCACTTTTATTTATAAATTAATAAACATTTTTTTTTAAAGTGCTTTGAGTGAGTGAAAACATAATTATATACATATATGATAATCATACCAAACAAATCGGGCATCATTATTCTGGTACCGTTTAATCAACCCCATAAAAACTGCTGTATACGCATCACTTCATACTCTATTTCCTTAGTTTATAATGTTTATGTAACATAAATTATGTTTATAATAATATACATACAAAATACGTCTTAAAAATAAGGGTATCTACTTCTACTTACATCTTATTGTTATTATTTTGGGTTCAACAATTTCACTACCTTACTAAGGCTCTTTCGACGGCACAGCGCTTTCGTCAAATGCATTCAAACAAATAAGATGGATGCGAGTCCGAGCTCTAATGACTCGTTCGAACAGGAAATCTTTTTTTTACACCACGTGCCTATCGTGCACACGTATTTAAAAGTAATTGTAATTAGAAAATGTAATAATTTAAATAATATAATTACAAAGTACAATTCCTCCACAAATTTTGCTGCAATTATTTTCAAAAAAGTACTTAAATACAATTATAAATTACATGAAAAAAAAGTTATTGTAATTTTTAATTACTTTTGACTAGGAATTACCCAGCTCTGCCCATACTATAACACCTCTATAAGCGCAGTTTAGCGTTCGATGCAAAATAAAATGGGCGCTTGTCTCCATGTCTTCGCCTCACTCTTCTACGACCTTCATACGCCCACAAGTAGTAAGGAGACTCGTCACTGAAAACGACCCCATCCCACTCCTCATTCCATTGAGCCGGTACATCCCAGCCTCTCGTAGACCCATTATCCCTACCTCTTTCAAATTCACTTAATTAATGATACACGTCACGTCTTATGGGAGGCATTGCTAAATGGTGTTTTAAATACTATAAAAGCAATAAAACTAAATATTTCTTAGCAAATTAAAAAAAAATAAACACTATTAAATTTTAAAATTTGAAGGTATAATGTTATCGTTTACTCTTCGTGTGAGCAATCAATTGATAAAAAATAATAAATATACCTTAACTTATACAGGATGTAGCAATTTCATTGTCACACAGTATATATGCAAAATAACTATTTAATTAAGGCAGGTTCATCGTTTCAATAAAATAAGCTATATTTTCAGCCGTTATGGAAACTAATTCTCCAGATCTTGTTGCCGTTTTAATGGCTGTAGCTACAGAATGGCAAAAATAAATAATTTTTTTCAAATGCATTCGGCCTCAAGTGATGTTTAATAAAGCTCTTCCAGATTTGCCTAGTTGGTCCCGTTCATATACCTTTTTAACATCAGCCAATGTAATTTTCTGTTGAAGATAAAATCCTTGTAAAAAAATTATTTCCAACGCATTTTACTAGGTGAGAATTATTTTCTCCTACGGCAAATTTTGGGTTATCCACAGTAGTGTCCAAAGGTCTATAGACTTTTTAGTTAACTGTAGATAAATCACACACTATCCCTATAGGTTTCAAACATGAGCCTCGAAGATGCGTTAAACCTTTAATAATAGTTTCGAGGGAGATTTAACATCGACACCGTTTTTGGTAAAAAAGCTATTGGATTTTTCCATTAGAAAAATACACCTCTTATCATTAAATCTAAAAGTTGTACGGCAAAAATTGGCTTTCTTTTGTTATTTCTCAGGTCTTCAAACCCTTCAGTGACATTTAAATTTTTTATTATATTCGATGGTTTTCTTAATTGCCATCTTATCGAACCAAACAGAATATATATTTTGTCCTTATTTGTCATTGTCTGATTTAATTCGAATATTTTCTTATTGAATCCGGGATTGTAGAGACAATTGGATATTCAACTTTTCATAGTGGAAAGTGGCAAAGTAACTTGTATTAAGAACTGTAACCTTCACTGCAAAAAAAGATCCAGGCCACATTTGGTACCTAGCGTTATTTTTTAGTCAATGAACCAACCGACTAAATTGGTTAAGCAAGTAACCTGTGTGCAGAAGCAATCCAAGCGGCTTGATTGCTTCCTGCATAATAAAGAAGAGAGTTGGTGACAGTTCGTTATTTGGTTCTCTATGAGTGAAGTATTAAAAATAGGAAAATGAGAATGATAATATTAACATATCTCAAAGAATTCTTCTGATGACAAAAGCTTTTGGATAGGAGAAGGAAAGCCCAAGCTTTTGTCAGGTATATCGTGTATTATGATAATAAAGAGACAAATGAATGTTGAAAAGGTAGCTGTTTAAAAACATGTAAGATACTTCTTGATAAAAAAAATCAATTTTTCTGAAAAACAAATTTTGACGACAACGCGTATGCTGAAAAACAAATAGGTCCTCCTGCATTATTTAAAGGCTGAGGCTTGAAGGAAAAATATAAAATCCAAAGATAGAGGATAAAAAATATGTAAATTTTGGCGACAGTTCTGAGAGTGAGATTTCAGACCTCGACGATGACTTACAATGACTTATCTATTGCGTAAAATTTGTATTATTTGTTAACTAATAAATTTGTGTAATTTTAAAATTCATTGTTTTTTATTTTATTATTGAACATACAAATTTTTAGATAAAATTTAAAGCCGTGTCGAAATTTGCCTGAGACCGGATCTGTTTTTTTTTTCGATCCCAGCATAGCGACGGCTGGCAACCAAATTTAAAACAGCGCTTACGAGTATTTTTTAACATAATAATGCACACTCGTAATGAAAAAAAAATACCTGTAACGGCCTGTAATCATTGAATAACTCAAAAAAAATTAAACTTAATTTAAATACCTGACCGGTACGGCTTGGAGACATTCGTAATAGCTTAATAAATTATGCATTAGATGAAAAAATTCAGGGAGACTCAAAAAGAGTAATAATAATAATAATAATAATAATAATAATAAACGTGCTTTATTGGAATAACCAACTGGCCATCGACCGAAGTCCTACAGCCTGTTACATACACAATGCGAATAAATATTATAATTCGATTGGGTATATGTATAAAGAAATAAAAAAAAGTAATTGAATGTTGTTATGAGTTTTAAAGGTCTCACTGTGCTCTTATATATTCTCATATGGTAATTTCTGGAGGCTTCCTCTTGACATGCCTAAGTGGATCACAGAGTCTGCAAAGCGGTTCAATTATATCACTAGTTTCTTCTTTTTCACAAAATGTTTGAGTCAGATGAATTAATCGCTGCTTTATTGGTTTTACTTGTGTAATTTCATAGAGAAGGGCTTTAGGTGGATTATGTAATGGGTTTCTTGGGTGTCTTGTTTTGGTGATAGATCGTAATGTACTTAATATAAATGGGATGGCAGTACTCTAAAATGGGTCTGCATATTGTTTTGTAGATATGAGTAGCAGTTTTCTGGGATATGCCTTCTTTTTTATAAGTTAAATTTATAAAATGTTTTGCTCTTGTTATACAAGGTTTTTTTACTTTAAAAGTGTGTTGCTTGAAATTTAGTTTTTGATCCATATGTACTCCTATGTACTTGGAGAATATACACATTCAATCGCTGTATTATTTATGGAAATAGTTGGTGTGTTGGCATGTTTTTTATAGTTGAATATTATGAATTCCGATTTTCTAGGGTTTGGTTTTAATCTCCATCTGTCAAACCATATTTCTGTTCTGTTGACAATGTGTTGCAAGCTTACTACTGCTTTATGTACCGTTTTATTGTGACTAATGAGGCTTGTGTCATCTGCATATTATAAGATGTACAAATCAGTATTTATATTGTTATTTCTTTGGTTAAAATTGTATATCTCGTGACAATATAGGTTGTATAAAAATTGGGACAAAGGTGATCCTTGAGGCACTCCCTGTTGAGGAGTGAATGTGAATATATGTTGTTTATGTATGATTATTACTGCTTTTCTACTACACAGGTAATTTTTGAGTAAGAAGAGGATGTATTTAGGACTGTTCATTAACCATAGTTTGTATAATAGTCTTTGTTGCCATACGCTGTCGAAAGCTTTGTTAATGCCCAGAAACACTGCTACACTACAATCGCCTTTTAGTTTTGCGATTTGTACATTGCAGGTTATAACTGTTACCGGATGTACATTTCTTTCGATACCTGCTGAACTGATGTACTAGGATTTCATGACCGATTTCTTGAGCTAGAATGGTTTTGATGATTATTTTTATTATTTCTGCGGTAACACATCTGCCTCGCATTGGGAAGGTCGTAAATTATTAGAGAACTTATAAAAGCACTGCATATCGATGCATAGCCTCCAACAAATTTCTTGTTGACATGTTGCTTTCCTTTACTTTTATAAATAAGGAAAATTCAACTAAATAACCACCGATTGCGCGGTTAAATGTGAAATATGTAAATATAATATAGCAGGTCAACTTCTTGGGCTCTCTTCACACAGGGCTGAACTATTAGATATTGATACTTAAGCTACGTAACCAAACCATTTAACCATTGCACTGATAAAACCACCCTTAGTGTCGATTTATCTGTTAAAACGGGTCACTATTTTTTGATAAAACAAAATATTTAGCATACTGTTTTTATATATCTGTTGTTTCTTCGATCTGTAAGCATTTAAAACAAAATAATTAATATCTTCATGTCCAAGGAACCATTTACTTAATAAAAAAACAATAGCAACGTTTATCATACATTACAAAATAATCAACCTATTAATTGGGCCAGTAAAAGTCAAAGTAGGTAGTGTAAATAAAAATTTGGACAAAAGTCTTTATTCGGATTCCCTATTTTGTATTTTATTGTATGACAAAAAACCATCTTACATGAAAACATCCTGACAAAGAGATCTAGAAGCTCAGGATAGGGCACATTTTGATGAGTTTTGTAGTAACGATGTGGTAGTGTTTCATAAACTGAATATCAATGCTTGTTGCAATTGTTGTTTCAAAAATTGTTGCTTAATGAACTTTTGACACACAAACGTTTCTTTATTAATCTGTTCAAGTTGTTTTTGTACTCCAATTAGTTTAAATAATAGCAACTGTCTTGAGGGTGGATTTTGAACAAAAACACAGAGTAGTGGGTGATTTTAGTAATATAAAATTACAAAGTATTCTTAGAATCGCTTGCAATAGTTTTACTTGATCGTGTGAACAAACCTTTATAAAATACATTCACATATATTATATCCATTGTAAAAAATAAAAACCAAATTTTTTATCTTTTTAGAAATTGTGGAACCAGTTAAATCTACAAAGTGAAGATCTTACACAAGCAGCAATGGGAATAATGACGAAAGACGAAAACATAAAGTTTTCGAAACTTTAATTTTAATTCGAATTATTTTTTATTTGTATTAAAAGTTTCATCTTAATCTATTATATTAATTAAAATTATTACATTAATTACTATTATATTAAATTAATTAATTTTAGTTTAATAAATAATTAATATTTAAATTAATATTTTTAGTTTTACTTATTGAACAAAGAAGAAATTCTCCCCGTGAGGAGCTATAGGCTTCCCTAGTAGAGGCTAGGGAAAGTACCAAGTATTATATAACATCGAAAAAGTAATTTAATGGGGACTTCAGCAATATTCATTGCGCTACTTTCGTTTTTAGTACCCTCTAGCAGAATAAGTGTTTCGTATTGTAAAGTGCTACCTACACATCATTTGAAAACTAATTTTATTAAAATGCTTGTGCGTTTGATAGCATTTTCAACACATGTTTTTTAAGACGTCGTCATTGACGATTCCATCGCTGCAGGGACTGCTGCAAAATATTTTTCCTATGACCACTTAGGAAAGTGACACATATCAAACTATATAGTCCTATGGAAAGTGCCCTCTATCACACGCGTATGAATAAGAATTTACTTTCCACCCGTTGTCACAAAATGTCAAACGCTTCATTTCTATTTTGATCCATGTAATGTCCATATTAATACTAAAATCGATATGATTGTTAAATTATTGAAATTGTTGTAAATTAGATCCTAGATATTTATCTTTAACAATTATTATTAAAATAATTTTAAAATAACTAAGTTATGTTTGCTTTTTATTCTGGTTAAACACATAACCGATTAGATCATTCAATTGACGTAAGGGCTATTAGCTCAATTGGTATAGCATCAAACTTTATCAAGTTTGCCATTTGAGACCTTGCGAGCGACCGCGTTCAAATCCTGGCGGGGTCAGATTTTTTTTAATTTTTTTTTTTATAGAAAATATGAAAATTGAATAAATACGATTATTGTTGATTATTTTTTTAAATACATTTTAATTATTATAATAATAACCTGATTTTACATTTTTTTGATGAAATTATTTTGTGGTCGTAGGAAAAATATTGTACATCACTTGTGTGAAAAGTGATTTTCCACACTCGTAATGTAATATACTATATATGTTCTACAAGGAAATATTTGTAATTTTGTGCCTTTCGCAAATAATACACTCAATAATGAAAGTTAAATACAAATACTATCAAACTCAAAAACAAAATTACATTTGCGGTTATGTAATTGGAACTCAGGGTAGGAAACAACAAATTTTGATGATAATAGAGATAATAACGGGATATGTCTATTGGCCAAAGGCCAAATTCAAGTAAAAAAGTCACCTGACGGATATGTGCAACAGGGAATAGTTCACACAAAAAATTTTGAACGTCTTGTCAAATTAGCCATAATACCAGTATAAACTGAAATTAATATATTTGGTAATTTTTATAACGCATGGTAAACGCATACAAAACTATAAAATTACTTACTAAAAGCTTATTAATGTAATATTCATATGGAACTGTGTGAGAAAGAGGATCTATAGCCAATTCCAGCATTTCATCAACTTCGTCTTGAGAAAAGGGTTCACCGTCTTGGGTCATGTATGTTGTGATTTGTTCTCTTGTCAAGAAACCTTTACCTAGCACATCTAAGGTTCTAAATGCTTCTAGAAGTCTTTCAGGCCCAGCTGGTTCAAACCTTAAATATACATAATATATGGCTATAGTATCTTCCATACCATGTAACTATCAGTACTTACTTATGCTCTCTAATTATTTGAACAGCTACAGGTAAGAAATGTCTTAGATGAACACTTCCTGGAATACGAGGATGTTCTACTTGTACGATAATCTCTTGAATTTCTGCTTCTGTAGGACATAAGCCAAGACCCCTTAATATGGTAGATATATCACGAACTTCACACATTTTGCTATTTCCAACATCAAAAACTTCAAATGCTTCTGCTATTTTTCTATCCAAATCATTTTTTAGGGGCACTGAAATGTATTATTATTATTATCATCATAACCTCATCATTATCATCGTTAATAGAGATATATTGCAAGTACACATGAGGTCGGTCACTAGCCCCGCTCTTATTTTGACATCTGATCATGCGCAGATTGCTTACGTTCTAGAACTGACTTTGTTAAAGATTGTGCCTGTCCCTAATTGTGGATGTTGAGGGTAGAAGATAGTGGCGACTTTATAACTTTCGAGTGCGCTAGCAGACATTCGTATCAGTTCAAAGTTTTTTCTCATACCATTTCCATATTATGTACTATTATAGACAACAAAAAAGATGAACTGTAATTTAAAATTTTTAAATTGAGGTTAAAAATATGTAAAGTCAGTGGTGGGTGTAAGCACAAGGACTCTAATGTCAAAACTTTTACAATAATTCTTTTAGCATAGAATTTATTTGTCTTTAACTATGTCGGTACTGTTAGTGGCTGACATTATAGAAATTTGTATCTCTCTATTATCGCTAACGTCTGTTGGCGTTCAATACTTTTTGTGCTGGTAGAATTTATCGTAACCATCAAAAACAGTTGTGACATTTTTCGATATGTACCATAATACTTTTTTTTGTAAAGAATATTGTGACAAATCTGCTATGATTTTCCCCAAGATAAAACGTTTAAAAAAATGTAATAAAACCGTACGGTGTCTCTTCGAGTACAGGTTCTTATCTATTTCCATAAAATTAAACAATTGCAGAGTAACGAAGCAAGACTTCTTATTATTTTATATCTAACGTTTTCAACAAAATAATAAATATTCGTTGATCTACGAACCACTATATATATATATATATACAGGGTGTCCTTTAAAATGTGTCCCAAAATTCTCAGGCAGATTCCTTAACCAAAAAATGGAAAAAAAGTTCCTATAGACCTATGTCCTAAAGTGCCCCCTAAGCGAGCAACAGCCTCTCGAAATCATTTTTTTTATTTTGATTTTTTGAATTTTCTTAAAAATGGAAACAAATAAAAGAACCAAATTTTGGCTGTTAAATATGATCAATAATAGTGACCTTTTGACACCTTCAAAAAGAAATTATTTCGTCAGGGGTGTACTTGGGAATTTTTTGAAAATTTTGATTATTCATAACTTTTTTGTGTTTTTGGTAATGACTTATCCATATTTTTTTTACATTCTACATTGAAAACTACGTCAAAAAGGAATACTTGTTTGATCTCGATTGGAGCAGCCGTTTCCGAGAAAACATCATCCAAAGATATTCGTGCAGTTTAGGTTAATTTTCAATTTTGGCTGTTGTAGCCAAAAAGTTGGAAATCGAGGAACACGGCTTACATGTCCCTATCCTTACTTTTGAAGGTCTATTCAGTGGCAAAAAATATTAGTTGATACAGGGTGATCAAAAATCGGATGTGATTTTGGATTTTTGATCACCCTGTATCAAATAATATGTATTTTATGTCACTGAATAGACCTTAAAAAGTTAGGATAGGGACTGTAAGCCGTTTTCCTCGATTTCCAACTGTTTGGCTACAACAGCCACCTGAATTTGAAAAAATGTGATTTTTGAGTAGCTGTAGATCCTTTACTATTCATATTAGATAACAAGTGTGATATATCATTGAAATCAGATTATCGAGCAGATTCTAAAAATATAAAAATATACAGGGTGTTCCATTTAAAAAAAATAACTTTGATTTGGCACGGCCTTATGAAACACCCTGTCACATCGTAACTAATTTTAAAATGTGAAGCTTAAAGCTGCCTACTTTTATTATAACAGATCTACAGAGCTTCCTCACACTAATCAATCACCCTGTATACTATTTTTAGCTCTCTAAATAAAATTTAAAAATTTAGTTCCCATTTATTTATTATGAAGACCATAAGGTTTGTATTTAGCTGTTTAGAATAAAAAAGTAAAAATATGTATTTTTTTGGCGTTTTTGTGTTTCATGGATAATTTTTTTCGCTCACTGATAAAAATGTTTCTTCAGTTAAACATTATTTCTAAAAGTGTTCTGGTGCGATTCGTTGTATTGTTATTATTTTGTTTAAAATGGCTCACAATAACTACAACATTGATTACACATTCGGCGAAATGACGGACATGCACTTATGTTTTGGACTCGCTTCTGGAAATGCCAATGAAGCTCGCAGACTTTATCAGGAGCGCTTTCCAAATAGGCATCTTCCATGCGCTAAGACGTTTTCTAGAATTGACGATAGACTTCGGGAAACTGGTACATTTAAGAAAAACTCTAGTAACAGTGGAAGACAAAATTATGTGAGAACTCCTGCTTTGGAAGAAGCAATTTTGGATAGGGTAGCTGAAACCCCATCGACAAGTACCAGAAAAATAGCAAATGGTAAGTAATTACTTATTTATTATTTTAGCTACCCCGTACCTTATCGTATAAAACTAGTTTTTTTACTTGTTATTGCTTCTCTTACATTTCACGACTTTTCGTATCGAAAAGAGTTGCGTTATGCAGAAAAAATCTGATTTCCCAAATCAATGGATTCTCTTTCTTAACTATTCACTACACAGATTCTCTCATTTAATTTCAGAAGTGGGAGTCGGACGTAACACGGTATGGAAAGTTTTGCGTGAACAACAATTGTACCCTTACCACATTCAAAAAGTTCAGGCACTTAAAGCTACTGATTATGAGCCGCGAGTTATCTTTTCTGAATGGTTTCTTGGAAGATGTAATCAAGATGCAATGTTTCTTAATAAAGTGCTATTTACCGATGAAGCTGGTTTCACTAGAGATGGTATAATAAATTTTCGAAATATGCATGAATGGGCTGAAGATAACCCTCACGCGGTTGTTGAACGTCACCACCAGGATAAATTTTCAATAAACGTCTGGGCTGGAGTTATTGATAATTACCTTATTGGACCATTTGTTTTGCCGAATAGGTTAAATGGAGCAGCATACAGGCTTTTTTTGGAAAATAACTTACATGAGCTTCTTGATAATATTCCGATTCAAATCAGACATAACATGTGGTTTATGCATGATGGAGCTCCACCACATTACAGCCTTGAAGCTAGACAGCACCTTAACGAAAGATTTGAGGGTAGAGTAATTGGCAGAGGTTGTCCTGTTAACTGGCCACCTCGTTCACCAGATCTAAATCCAATGGATTTTTTTGTTTGGGGTTATTTAAAATCATTGGTTTATTCCAGTCCTGTTGAAACAGTTGAAGAATTGGAAGAACGAGTTTTTCATCATTGCGAAGTTCTTAGGAATAATACTGAAGTATTTTTTCGTGTAAGACAGTCTATGATGCGACGGTTGCGCTTGTGTGTGGAAACCAATGGTCGCCACATTGAGCATCTGCTTTAATTTTTTTTGATTTGTTTTTTTAGAATAAATATTTTTTTAAACCGTTTCTTATTATTAAATAAAAATAGTCCCACCACGACATTTGAACTACAATTATTTAGAGAGAGCTAAAAAAGTTATTTTTATTTACGAGATTCACTGAGATAATTTAGGAAAATTGAAAATTAAGCTAAAGTGGACGAATATCTTTGGATGATGTTTTCTCGGAAACGGCTGCTCCAATCGAGATCAAACAAGTATTCCTTTTTGACGTAGTTTTCAATGTAGAATGTAAAAAAAAATATGGATAAGTCATTACCAAAAACACAAAAAAGTTATGAATAATCAAAATTTTCAAAAAATTCCCAAGTACACCCCTGACGAAATAATTTCTTTTTGAAGGTGTCAAAAGGTCACTATTATTGATCATATTTAACAGCCAAAATTTGGTTCTTTTATTTGTTTCCATTTTTAAGAAAATTCAAAAAATCAAAATAAAAAAAATGATTTCGAGAGGCTGTTGCTCGCTTAGGGGGCACTTTAGGACATAGGTCTATAGGAACTTTTTTTCCATTTTTTGGTTAAGGAATCTGCCTGAGAATTTTGGGACACATTTTAAAGGACACCCTGTATATATATATATATATATATATATCCTTAGCAGTATTTTGCGTCCGATAACATGCACAGTACGTTACATTTTGCTTCCATGACTATTTTACGTCCGAATATCGGACGCAAAATAGTTTTCGGCTTTTCCCGCCTTGCATAAGCACGGAACAAAATCAATTTTACAGAGATAAGTTTGTTTTGTGGTTGGGTTTCTATATTTAACTCTTATTTAAAGCTAACCAATACGAGATAGCAGTTATAATGAATTAAATGGACGCAATTTAGTGCCAGATATGAAAGAAAATATACAAAATTTAGTTTGTGAGATAACCGATAGAGGCGCTAAATAATATACATAATGTATATTATCCTTTCATTTCACTCACTATTTTGACTCCAACTAGCGGCAACACTGTAAAGTGTAAAGAGCATTGTTAAGTGCGTGGATGTTAGAGTTTATATTTTTTGTTATATTAGTTAGGAATCTAAGGGTTTGAGTGAAGTTAGGGATTTTTAAATTGAATATTTTTTCTGTAAAAACAAATCGGAAATTACTTTAGGTTATTTTAATTTAATGGATTATATATAAATAATTATTTTAAAAAAATTGTTTTTGGATTTTAATTGTAAGAAGTTTTTGGCAAATATTTTAGGTTTTTAAAATTTATTACGTAAATTATAATTATTTCAAAATAATTTTAATTGTTTAATTGACGGGATAGTACTAAATTAAATTTTAGTTATAAGAATTTTGGGGACAATTATAGGTTATTTGAATTTAATAGATACATTACAATTCCTTTAACATAATTTTAGTTATAGTTTTAAATTCTGATTTAATATTGATTTACATATTGTAAGAAAAATTAATATTTATGATTGATGATTATGACATATATATGATTGATGATTAATAATTATGATTGATAATTATAATTGATGATTATGATTCATGATTGAGAATGATGATTATGATTGATGATTATGATTGATAATTAATTATGATTAATAATTATGATTGATGATTATGATTGATGATTATGATTGATGATTATGATTGATGATTATGATTGATGATTATGATTGATGATTATGATTGATGATTATGATTGATGATTATAATTGATGATTATGATTGATGATTATGATTGATGATTATGATTGATGATTAGGATTGATGATTATGATT